GAGCTGGAGATTAATAATAACTTAATTGATATAAACATAACAGAAGAATATCAGTAAAATCCCTGAATAAACAGAAATGTTTAAACTGTTTTTAAAAGGTAGCTTACTAGAATGAATTTGGAGTGTGGCTCAAATACAAAGAGATGAATTTTCTAAGTAAGCGTAATAATCTGTTCTAACTCTAAAACCTCTCTAAAATTGAAAAGTATTTTAATCTCATCACTGACTTTTATTTTCGCTTGCTTTTAAGGCGGCAGATCCAGGGTCCAAACATGCAGCATCGGGCTCTTTTGGACACCATGGTGCTCACAGAGAAGGGGGCACGTTTTGAATTGCTGGAAGCAGACTCGCAGGTTAGTGTTACTTTTAAAAAGTTTCTTTAATCAAGTTTAAACATCATTTAGACTGCACAGATCAATGTTTTGACCTTTGATTATGCCCAAAATTGTGAATGATAATTAAAGAGGAGGTTTTTTTTATAAGCTTACTCTTTTCACAGACCAGGCTGCTTCTTTCTTTGTCCCCGTCAAAACACGGCATTGTACGGATAACAATAGATGAATTCCAGCCTATTAAGGCACGCTATCGAGTTCCAGATGTGTTATTCGGGGAACCACAATGTGAACAGTAAGCGATGTATCATTTTTCTATTATAATGTCATCTTACACCAGCACTTCTTTAAAATCCAGTCCCCTTTAGTATTTCTGACAGCCTAAGAACTTCTGCGGTTGTGACAGAAATGATTAATTGCTCATATCAATAAAAGACAAGTTTATAGATCCAGGTTTAACTCGTAGGATTGCTGCAACTGGAAATTAGTTGACCTTTACCCCTCATCCTTTGGTAGATTAAGAGTGGAGAAACAGACTAAGGACTCAGTCACGCTTTCTTGGTCTTTCGGACGTTATCAGCTCCGTGTGTGGCATTCTCCTTTCCGACTGGAGATCCTGTGTGAGCAGGAAGTGATGGTCACATTCAACTCTAAGGACAAACTGTGGTTTGAGAGACTGCAGCATCGACCCAGGTGAGATTTGCAGGAAACAGATGTGCAGCAGATAATTGTTTATATTATATAGTTGACTGAATTTCTTTTCTTTATTCTGTATTCTTCTGCTGGGCCACATGTCACGGTAGCGAGGTAAGAAAATAGAAGCACATCTGAAACTGCAGCTTAATTTTGAAGCTTAATCAGGTCTGTGAATGCCATTGTTCTTTGTTGCTTTTATTTCAGCTTCAAGACGAGCAGAAAAGTTCATTATGGAAGGAGACATTCAAGCAGTTTGTGGATGTCAAGGCTAATGGTTTGTGCCTCTACTTGAATATTTTACCAGCAACTATCTCAGTTTGGTGTACTGTGTTCACATTTTTATGATCATAAATTACAGGCAAGTGTACATTTACGGAGCTTAATAATCAAGGAACAGAGTGTACTCTAAACTTTATACTGAGAGGCACG